ATTTCTAACACCAGGCTGTCCGGCAGAACTGGGCCACAATCCATCCTAACATCCTGCGTACCCCCCGCGCACACACACACATATGTACATGGAAGTGATGTTATATGAAAGCAACCACAATCCTGTAGCACACAGTTTCATAAGTCATATTTTTTGTTACTTTGCACCAATACACAACTTGAGGCTCCACCTTTACTGGGACTAATTTCAGCCTGACAGCTGAGAGATAACATACTGGTGTATGTTACAATGTACAGACAGCACTGAACTGTGCTCGGAGCTCTTGCTGTCAGAGCAACTCATTAAAGCTATCATCCTCATATTTGTAGAGCTGCAACTGACACTTCTCACACGCTCTCACGACATACAACTATTTTCTCAGGTATTGGTAGACTTTTATTTATTTATTTAATTATTATGAATTCTAATTAAATGACGGCATTAGTCTCGTAATGTCAGAAAACACATATGTGGGAAAGATTTTGAATGTAAAGAAAGTTTTGAATATGAGCAGAAAACCTGCTGAAACCCAGGAGCTATTAAAGTCCAGGAGTTTATAACTGAATTGAAATGAATTAATTTATCATTGACATGAAAACATGCCACAATCACGTTTAAAGAGGTTACTTCCTCAAACAAAAACACAAAAGAAGAGGGAAGACTAAATCATGAAAAAAAGATAATTAAATAATAATAAAAAATCCACCATAAATGGATGCAGAAATGGCAGAAATTGGAACAAAAATTTTATAGATGAAACTAAGTGTTTAATACTAAAGATATTTTGGGGGAGGACCCTCAGACCCACCACTACATAAGTGTCCCCTCCATTGTTAAAGGAAAACCTACGGTTTTGCATTTTAGCAACTAAAATACTTCATAAATTCTCTAGAATGCAAGAAAAACTCCCAAATGACAGGTAAGGTTTGATCTCCCAATTTAGACTGTGAGGTTGGCAAGAATGCTGATCACTGATCTGATTCACGTTTCATCTAAACATATTTTAAAATTATGAATGTGGCTGCTGATGTTTTTCAGAGCGATGACCCGGACCCCTGCGGTGAGTAATGCCAAATCCGACATTCTCAATATCGAATCTCACTCCAAATTAAATAGAAAAGTTGGCAGCCCTGATATTTGGCATGTCAGTGCATCCACAAGTACTCCATTATGGACACTGAACTTAATGGCTTAACGTTTTGCTCAGAGTTGTCAAAGAAACAGTGCCAGTGTGAAGGAGGGGCTTACGATATAACGTTATGTACATAAGCATGGTCGTTACTGGAACAGAGCCATGGTAGCGTGGCATTTCCTCAGTTACAAGCTAACATACACCTACAAAATTATGACTGCCATGTGAACTAAACGTTATAAAAATGAATCAGTACCCTTGTCTAAGTCTGAGTAGATGTGTGCAGCTGTACTGAACTATCTACCGTGTGAAGATGACCGAACATGGACATTTGTGTCGCTTTGCGTAAAAACTCATAACAAGTTACTGTGTTTACACTGAAGACAGCCTTCCTGCTAACCTGCGACACATTAACTAGCTAAATGTCGGATAACTACAGGGCGTTTGTGTGAGTTTAAGCAAAATCAGTTACGAGCTTAGTGTGCAGCTATGCTGGCCCCGATATGTCAGTCAAGCTAACGTTAAGCTAGCTAATATGTTAACAAGCAAGCTAGCTGTTAGCTGACATTTTTTAACTTTCAGCTACATCTGACAACATTTATTTCTAACAACGAGCGGCTACTTTTATAAGCCAATGCTTTCGTTGCACTAGTTTATTTAGCTTCGCTCTGTGTAAAGTTGTTGACATAAACTGTGACCCACCTGCTGGATCTAAGTATGTTGGAGAGAAAATCAAGCGGCTAGCTAGCACTGAAAGCTAGCCACAGAAAAATGACAACAGACCACCAGCTGCTGTGAAGCGACAAGACTCTACTAACAGATATCAGCATCATCGCTCCAGCAAGGAATCGATTGATTCCGTATTTACAGATAGCCTCCATTGTCCTCTTCTCACGTACACAATCTCCCTCAACAGATTTGTGTTTTCATCCATCTCTGTTTATAAGAACTTCTTTCTAAACACGAATTTGGTGTTTTAAGCAGAAAAACTGTAATTATCCTTTTCAACAGTCTGTTCATGAAAGGAGAAAGGTTTAATGAGATTTATTTAATTAATTTAATTTAATTATTAAAAGTATGATAGTTTATACAAGCAAATTAACTTTCTCAATAAATAACCATATTAATATTTACTAATTCATCAATATTATTTGCTAAGATAATTCAATCCATATTTCTTCTTAATCTCATTTCAGATAAGGTATATGTTGAGTGGAGAATTATTTTCTTACTTGCAATTATTGTATTTAGGGTTGCCCCTCAGAAACTGATGAAGTAGTAGCCTAGCACTCAAAAGTGTGTTAACACTCTGTTACCTGTTGTGTTAAGATGACTGTTCCCAGGATGAAAAACCTTACAAACAACCCTACAAATGTGCTCCTTTTTATCTGTTAATCAGCCAAAAAAATAAGCCTGTATTTAATCAGATTCAAGGGCATTGAATTTAGTAGGGATTGCAGGGACATGGCCCGTCTACGGAATTGTCCCTAGCAATAATTTTGATCAAAACAATTAGTATATAATCACGGTTGTCTGTCAGTTTCAATCAATGTCTTTGGTACACAGACTGTTAATTTTTAATTAAAGGATCTGAATACTTCTTCCACCACTGCTGATTTATCATTTAGCTATTTGATTTTTCTTTTCTTTACCTTTCTTAAAGGGATAAGAATATTCTATATTATGTTTTAGATATTTTTACTTCCCAAAACAACATTATCAAAGTTATTTTACCTTAATACTGTAGGTAGCACAAACAGAATTTAAAATGTGTAATGGGGTGTATAGCTGAGGAGAAACATGATTTACTGACATGGTGAGACATCTGTGAAATTGCATGTTGTTTTCCCTTGAGAATAGTTTTTTTAACTTGTAAAAACTAAAACACATACAAACACCATGATGATGACAACTGAAAAGTCATTTTGGTGGCCTCTCCTAAGCAAAAATCTTGAGACCATTGTTTCCTATTATTCCTATTGCTGTTTGTAATAACTCTTAGCTTTATGGTGAAATGGGTGAGAGTGTAGATTGAGAAGAAGGAGGTGTGCATAAAGCATTGTGTCACTATATTTCTAAATATTTCCTCACAAAAACTGACATATAGGCCTACATCCCAGACAGTCTTCACACCCCGATTGCAGTTGTTATCATATATGATTATTTTATTTTTGTTTTTTATCTATATACATTGTATGAAAATATAGCTCAGCAAAAACGCATACACTGTTATATGTTAATTACTGTCAGTGGCAATGTCTCATTTGTTTTACAGTTTTAATGTCAATGAAGTAAACATACAATGGGAAAGTTAAGGAACAACACCCAGTCGCCTAACATTTCCAGTATATGTGTGATGGCTCAGTTCACTGACCTCAGAGGGAGGTGAACGGGGCATCAGTCAGTGGAGTACTAGAGTCTGTGCAACCGAGAAACGCTGTGTCATTGTCTTGTAGTGTCATTGCACACACATCTTTACACTTGGCACATGGGAGCAGATGAGCTGGACTTCAAGACTAACTCCTAAAGGAAGCATTAGAGCTGAACTATGCTGTGACTATTATTCTCTGGTAAGTACTAAAACTTTCTGAGACAAATTTATAGCAAGTTTTTAAACAGACTTTATCATAGTAAACAGGATTTACAAAGAAGATACATCTGTGAATGGCATATTTTTTCACAATAGTTATTCTTTTCACTGTGTTGCAAAATTAATTTGAATTAAGTCTAGACTTAAGACATGAAAATGCATAGTACAGCAGGATTGTACTGTGTAAAATGGAGCGTGTTAAACCTGATAGGGGTGGGATCAGGTTACCTGCTATAACATTATCTCAGCAGAAAAGACATGTGGCTGATACTACAAACAGATAAAAGAAGGATCCCTGTCTGGTTCACTATGTCTTCCTTCAGCACTGCGCAATGCCGCTGAATGCATAGTCTCCTGCTGTGGCTCCTCAAAGAAGGACAGGACATCAGCAGGATGCCCATACCAGTATAAAGGTGCAGCTCGTTTGGGTGAAATTGGACCATTTTGAAATAATGATCTATGTACCTCTGATGGCTAAACTGTCCTGTTTTCCTCACTGAGCAGGGCAGAACGTGTGGACAGTCTCAAATGATGGAACAAAATCCACTCAAAATCATCCCTAATTGCTCCCAGCAGAGTGGACAGAAGAGATGCACATTTCCCCACCACCCGATTTACCTCTCAAGCGTATTTACTTGATCTTTTTTGCTCTGTGCTTGTTTTAATGATGACTTGTCCTAAAACTCCTGGTTGGGAAGTTGGATGATGTCTGACAGCTGACAAGTGCAGCAGTGGCTCAGAAGTGGCTTACAATTTCCTGTATGTACCAATCATTTATATGGTATGAAAGTGGCCAGCACAGCAAATTAAACCTGAGAATTGAATAAATTGGTTGTCAAAATCATGTCATTGTCTGAGTCATAAAAGTGTCCTTACGCAGTTTCTCCAGGAGAGGCCGGCATTTTTCTTAAGAGACTCTTACTTTTTCTTGAGTATGTGTCGCCATCATGTGGAAAAAACAACTGCAGGAGAAAATTACCGTCAGAGTGAAGAAAAAAAAAAATTCAATAATAACCAAGAGAAAACAATATTGAATAAGACATAAATTCGATTTATTTTTAATTACTCAGTATCATTAGGAACTTGTCAAATGAGAGTGCGTATTTTACAAGGGAGTAAGCCACACTTGAAGCAGAGAAGCCGACCAAAGCCTGCATGGACGGTTCCATGTAGGCCCAAAAATGACGTCAAAACCCTGTGACATCCCGTCGCACATGAGAGATGTAACCGTATTGCTTAGATTATAAACTCTCAGTGAATCTAAAACAACTAGGCTATTCGGCCATCAGTGACGCTGCGTTGGGTCTTGCAGGTGAGCCTCGTGGGTGGGCTGATTAAACAGTAACGATCCAAGTCAGACAAACACACTGAGCCAAGAAACTTTTTGTTTGTGCAGCTATGCAGCTACCAGAATTACGGTGTTTCTGCCTTTGTTCTACGTCATTAAACCACGTTTATGCTGCGCGATCATGCGCAGAAGACACAGGTTTCACTGCTCTCCATTCAAACCAGCGGGTTGGCCTCGTCCCATAATATACTGTCTATGGTATTTTAGCAGACTAGATCAGCCATTCACATCATAGTGCACATAATGTGTGTGACATACATAAAGTGTTTGTCGGTTTCTCGAGGGACGAGGCAGTTTTATTTAAAGTAAAAGCATCATCAGTAAAACTCTTCTGATATGACCAACAAAAACGAGCCATTAAATTATTTGGCAAAGGGTGTGTTTCTTCGTAATGATTTTTCTCAGTAAAATAAGTGTTTAAGTGATGGAATCTTAGGCAGATTTCCTATTTTATCTAACACTTGTTAAAATTAACTTCAGATCTCTTTTTTGTTTGGAGTACAATTAAATTGACTAGATTATCATATTGAATCAGCTTAGACTGATGTAGTCAGAAAATCTCAGTCTTTGGTCTGGATTTTACTCTCTTTTAAGAACAGGTTATAATGCATGCAGCTTCTACAGGTGAAATGGAGCCAGTCACTGTCAACTAGTGACAGAACAGGAAAAGAGTGTATATGCTGAGTGTTTATGATTGACTGGGGAGATTTCAAAGCAGCAACAGGTGTTTTGATGGGTGAGTAACTGACATACCATTACTTTGCTAGAACTCTACAATAATCACCATCATAAATGTAATATCATATTTATTTAGAATAGAAGAAATCACAAATGTATTTACATTCACATGTACAGTAGCATACAATACAATTTTACAATTACATAATAGTACAGAATACAGTCTGTGCAAAGTTAAAGTGACAGTTTACAGTGTGGGACGATGCAGCTGAAACAATGTACACTTGTGGCCACATCCCTTAGTTTCTACTCACTCTACACAAAGACTGTTGTTTGAAAGTACTTTTCACCTGAGCTGGTGAAGATGTGATAAAAATAAAAAAAACTCACATTTGTGGTGATATATTCTACTCACACAGAGAAGCATTAATAACAAAGTATCTTGAGTTGTTTTTCAGCATACTGTATTTCTGCTTTCCACAATACAATCATTAAAATATCTTTCTGCTGGAATTTGGATCACATGAAAGCCAAAGAAACAAGGAATACAAATAAGGTGACACACATTTAAATGTCTTTGTGAGATGCTTTAGTGTCACATCAACTCCAACAACAATGTATTTCCTTAATGATGGCCTGTCACATCCGGATGTCCCTTTACGTCTCCACTACAGCTATAATCTAAAGTGCAACGTTGTTCTGAGTGACTGTCCCTGTCTGTCCTGTCATCATAGCACCATGGTGGGAATGTGGTGCACCAGGGGCATCTGGTGCTGGTGGGGCATGGCTGTGATCTGTGAAGTTGGAGGGGACACTTGGGATTGCACGTCGGCGGCGTGCGCCGCCGGTTTGTGCCGTGCGCTCTTCTGGTGCGCCCTCAGGCCCGCAAGCTGCGAGTAGGCGCTCTGACAGACGTGACACTTGTAGGGCCGTTCGCCGGTGTGCAAGCGGACGTGGTTTCGGAGCGTGGACGACTGGCTGAAACGGCGGTTGCAGAAGCGGCAGACGAAGGGCTTGTCCAGAGTGTGGATGCGCATGTGGGAGCGCAGGTTGCTGCGGGAGTTGAAGCCGCGATGACAGATGACGCAGCGCATCCGACCGGCCGTGATGGAGGAGGGTGGGGAGCAGGCGGAAGGGCCGTCACAGGAGTGGGACTCGTCTGGGAGAGGAAACAAAGAAGAGGGAGATCAGTTCAAGCCCTTAGGCTACAGATAAAGTTTGATACGGATGGGTCCTTCATCTGTAGGGTAGCCTAAAGAATCAAAAATCTGTAGGCCTATCTAAAAATGTATCGCTATGAAATAAACTGGCTAACACTTGTCCACCGTAATGACATTCCCTAAAGCCATGACACCCACAGACAATTAAAACAGGTTGTGACATTGATCCGTAAAATTAGGCTACTCACCATTCCTGCTTTTCTTCTGCTGTTCTTCATCTGCTCCTGGAACTCCGGGAATTCCCAGGAATGTGTTGTGGGTGTTTCCATACCAGACAAGAAGCTCCTGGTCTGGTGGGATGGTCTGACGAAGGAAGGAAATAGGCCAAAGTTCAGCCAATCTACACGTGACTTTAGTTTGCTGCTCTGTGACTGTTGTAACTGGGAGCCATACAGAAATCAGATATTCATTTCCCATATTGGCCAACAGGTGGCGCTGTTCTAAAGGACATTCTATTCTTGGTGGTCGTCAATAAAACCCCATAAAGCCACCCAAGGCCCCGAGACCCACAGCATTATTTTTGCAAGCTGCTGAACAGAAACAGAGTTTGAGTTCACTCTCACCTCCACCGCCTTGTAGAAGATACTGCTGCCGATCTGCACCACTTCCAGGTTTTGCTCCTGTTCATTCCGGGCGCACTTGATGTAAGTCATCCAGCTGCGCTGATCCTCCTGGCTGGCATCGATGAAGTAGCGCACCGTGCCGTCTTCGTTGAACACCTGAGCTCACACAGCAGCAAACACCGCGTCACAAGCCTATATATAATCTATCAACAGGAGCCTTTCCTGCAGGCTGAATGAATGAAGTGTAGACTGCATCAGAAACTTCAGCTCACCTCCCACATGAGGTTGTTATTCTTGAGCAGGTCCACGTGTTCAGGGGACAGGACCCTCCCTGTGAAAGGGCCCATCTCGGTTCCTGCTTTGATCCAAGTCTTTGAGAAGATGCCCAGGCCTTCTCCAGGGATGGAGCTTTGGGCGATGATCACTTCAGTGGGCAGCACAAGGCTGGACAGCTTCTGCACCTCTGCAAGTATAAAGAACAAATATAAGCATGGAAAATTGAATCTAAAGTGCCAGCGATGTTAGAAATAGAAACTTTGCAGCCATGTCTTCAAACAGATTTTCTAAAATTGTGCAGGAGTAAAACTGCACATAAATGTAATTCGGAGTAAGGCATTGCAGAGCTGTTGTTCAGCGGGGTGAGCTGATGCCAAAGCGCCTCATGAAACAGGATTGCTGGAAAAGTCCTGAAAGCAGCAAATGGACTGGATCTTATTTTGGTCACGAAATATTAAGCTACACCTTATCCTCCGTTTAATTCGATTATCTAGTTGAATTGAAAGTTTTTGTTGTGCAGAGAAACCCCCTCGGAAAGCATTTTCATCCGCATTGAAAAAGGAAAAAAAACCTTGCGCTTCTTTAATGTCAAAATCAAAGTTCTTTTTGAGGCTGCGAAAAAGCCCGTGCGAATAGGGGTTAAATGGTCCTCTATTGCCCAGGGTCCAGCAATTTGTCATGCTTCAGATGTGATATTCATTAAACTTTACTGGAAAAGAAACGGCTAATTCCAAATTCATTATCCTTTTAAGAACTTTGTAGCAATAAATTTGCGCTGAATGAAACGAGGACTTGTTTAAAAGACTCAGGAATTTCTGCAACAAAAAAATGGAAAGGCGATTAGATGGTTGACATGCAATGAATAGCATTAGATTTAGCCTTCACGGTGCATTATCCGAGGAACAGCAAATCTTTTAAGGGGAGAGAAAGAGAAAAGCTCTGGAGCCCCATAGCTGCCAAGAGAGGAAAAGAGACTGTCCGGAGATTGATGAATGCGGGATAAAAACCCGGGACATCTCAAAGAAAGAAAACCTTTCTCTCCTCGAGGTTTAAGTGGAAACTTTCCCAGGTCAAGCACAAAGTTAACCAAATGAATTTAATGCCCTGCGTCTTTCAATCAGCGACAGTTACACGCCTAACAAGCCACAAACACGAGGTCTCAGAGCTCTGAAAGGGTTAATACGTTAAATGGGTCGCAGAAAACTAAAATGCAGAAAACAGCAACTAGTTGGTTTGGGGAAACTTTGGGAAATAAAATGTTTGCGAAGACAATGAATCCTGTTTTAGTTTTTGGGGGGCACATTGTGGGATCTTTTAGAAAATGATGATATTATTTATTTAGCTGTCAGTGGAAAAAAGAAACATTTCTCTTTGGATTTCAGTGATACACATTTGTAGGAAATTATTTACAATATAATATAATCAAAACAAATATTTAGGTAATGAAAAATATAATCAAATTTTGATTTTTATTGCTAAAACATTTAGCTTGAATAAAACGCTTAAACTCACTAAAGTATGGTACAAAAGTGCAATTAAAACCTTCCAAACACGCACAACAATATGATAAAACCAGTCATGGCTAAAAACGAAAAAAAAACAGCATGTCAGCCTACCTCCAGCGAAGGACTGAGCCAGCACCTCAGCGGTGAAGGCGGTCTTGGGGCTGCTGCCGCTCTGCCGCTCCTCCGCCAGGTGTTCGCCCAGCACGTTCCTCCACCTGCCGTACAAGAAGCTGTGCAGGATGTCCGAGGTGATCACGTCTGACAGCGAGCGGCTCGGACACTTAAATCCAGACTTGAGAGCCAAAGCGTCTGCGGGTAGTACGGAGCCCATGTTGCAAGGCGCAAGAGGGGTATAAATATGACAACCACGGTGCAGCTGCAAATCAGCGATAAAAGAAGAAGAAGAAGAATAAGAAGTGGACACCAATAGCTGCTCCTAAGTCCGCCCCTCTGCTCCAAACTCTCTGTGCGTAAAGCTGCCCTGCCTGGCTGCAAGGGTCTCTTTATATAAGTGGCTAGTGTGACCGCTGTCTAATTACTTATTAATGACACACCCCTCACCGCGTGGACCTGCCTGCTGCACCGCCACACACCAGCAGAGCCATTAAAAACACAGAGGAGAGAGAGAAAGAGAGAGCGAGCAAAACTTAGTTTATAGTAATTATCTGCACTTAATGCTTGACATTAAATTACTGCAACATGTTTGTTCAAAGCTGCAAATGCATGCTGATTCGATAAAATGACAATAAAACATTTTAAAATATTTTTAAGATCGAAAACGGACAGAAATCAAAACTTTAAAGTGCTTAAAAAGATTAAAGAAAAAAAATGTTATAGCGCAAATTATGAATAGACTGCTCTCGGTTGTACATGTAAATAGCCTACAAAATTAAAACAATTTTACGCTGTTTTAAATTAATGCACAACTAAAACGAATGAAAAGCATTTGTGTGAGTTAAAGCAACACGTTGAGTGTTTCTGTCCGCAGAAGTGGGTCATTGAGTCTGGGAGCTGCTCGCCCATTTTTTTCTCAGGCATTTCGTATTCATGCGCTGGTAATATTATTTTTTTGTGAGGAGTTTAGCGCGGGAATGACAAGAATGGAAACAAGCTCGAAGTGGGCTTTTTTTTTACAGCATTGTTCGCATGCAAAAAATGCAAAGCTGCTTTGACGTGGTTCACTTTTTCAAGCCCTTGTTTAGGTAAGCGGTTTAATATTCATGGATGTTCGGAGCCCCCTCGGTATTGTGACAACGTTTAGATGAGTATATACGGGCCTTTTCTTCTCTATAGTCACAGTCCTCTGTGTTTTTTCCTCTCTTGCCTATTTTTCGGGCTTGATGGACTGGGGCTAAATGGGCAGTTTTCCTTCTTTTCCAGCAGAGAGGACATCTTTATTCCATCCCCGGCTCACAGGTTTCCTATTCAGCTCCCCTCCAAGTAATGTCAGGGCCCTGAAAAGTGCTGCAAATCAATCTTTCATGGTGTTTTGAGGGCAATTTGACATCCATGCACTCTTCTTTTCACTCCAACAACTACAAGGGGATTGTCCGAAAAAGTGGGAAAGTTGTGCGCGCTCTCTCTCTCTTTCTCTCTCTGGACGAATATGGACTTCAACGTAGCCTAATGGGAAAGAAGATATGGCAACTAAATACAATAGCGGAGGGTTTTTTTGTGGAGCTGCAGAGATAGTGAAAAGGCAAGGTGAGTGACAGGGCACGAAAAAAGATTACTGTGAAACAGCTGCTTTTTATGAGCGGGCCCCTCCTACATTTGTCTCCTTTTCCCAGATGAAATTTCTCTGCTCTTTCAATGGGATTCTTTCTCATCTAGATTGATTTACATTTATAGCATTCATTGCACAAATCCGGGGACGGGGGGCGGGTCTGCTTCTTTATTAAAGAGGAATTAAATGAATTGAATTGGGGTAACGCATGGATTTGATTTGCTTATTTATGCATTAACCTATGGCATTATTTGGAGCTGGTAAAGCCGCGGGCATGTCAGCAATAGCAAATCATCCTGCTTAGCTGTTCCATTGTAAAACAATTTACGCTATTATTCTGTCCATTTAAAGCCTATCAATTTAATGTGGATGATTGACAATTATTGCACAAAGAATGCGGTAATTGTTTTATTTCAAAGAGCTGGTGGGAAACCTATCAAAGAAAATAATTTGTTTGTAGATAAATAGCAGAGTTCACGCTCCTGCAGGGAAAAGTGGAGAAAATAGATTTAAATTGTTAAATTAATTTCGACTTTAATGACAACGCATAATTATAAAATAAAATGAGAATGTTACATTTTTGTTTGAAAAGCTTTTTTTTTCTTTTCCTGTATTTTGCTGCGTAAATGTAAGAATTTTATCCGAAAAAGGTGAGTTATCCTGTTTTAAAAATTATTCCCATTAAAAACGCGTTGCTTAAAATATTCCTAAAAATCACTGGCTCAAATTTCAGACCTGCTGCAGGGAAAACACACACACACACACATATACACAAACACACAAACTTCTCCAAATTGCTGCCGTCCAACCAGCTGCGGGATGAACGACTGGAGAGTCTCGCGGGATCCTTCACAGCGTCATTAAAAACAGATTACGGTAGCTGCCACAGTGTGGAGGATACTGAAGATCGGCTCATCTGTTGCAAAGGTGAGAGAGGTGCAGTCCCTCCTCCTGCTCCTTCTCCTCATCCCCGGTAAAATAAATAAATAAAAAGCCCCCACTCCTCTCTCGATGGACAGGACAGGGGGGGAGTCAGGACACCTGCTGTATGTGGAGGAGCTGGAAGTGTGTGCACCTTTATTTACAGTGAGAAAAACGGTTTTAAAATTGTTACTGAAGCACTACTTTAAACATTATGACCCAAAACACTAAAATACTAAAACATGCTGGATGCATTAGATTCATTGTATTTTATTCCTCTAGCAGTGGTGGAAAGTAACTAAGCACATTTACTCATCAAGTAAAGTTTTGATGTACTTTACTTAAGTAATTCCTTTTTATACTATATTATACTTCTAGTATACTACATTTTAGAGGAAAATATGTTACACCACTACATGTATCTGACAGCTTTAGTTTCTTTGAGATTTCAAATAATTTTTACTAAATATAGGTTAATTACCTAATAAAAGATGATGTAAAGTTAAAGATGCATGTAGTTGCAGCTAGTTTCACTTTCATCAGCTTCAACATTAAAGTCTTGTCCATAAATGATAAAATATATGATATGGGCCATTCTACATAACAAGTACTTTTACTTTTGGAGTATATTTTGATGCTAATACTTTGACTTGAGTAACATTTTTGAATACATGACTCTTACTTGTAGCAGAGTATTTCTACACTGTGGTATTGCTACATTTACTAAAAGATCCGAGTACTTCTCTAACATATAGACAATCACAACAGATCAGTAAGACTGGGTGAGAAAACCATTCATTGCTATAAAAAGCGGTTACTGAATGGGCCTTAGTGGTGAAAGAAATACTCAGATCTTTTCCTTAAGTAAAAGTAGATAAACCACAATGTCCAATTAACTCCATTACAAGTAAAAGTCCTGCATTTAAAATGTTTTTCTTCAGTAAAAGTACAGAAGTATTATCAGAAAAATGTATTTAAGTGTCAAAAAATCATATTTGAAAGTAACATTCTAAAGTAACTATTAACTAGCTGACAAAAAAGTAGTTGAGTAAATAGTACAATGTTTGCCTCAGCTTAGTGCAAGTATAAAGTAGCATAAAATGCAAATAGTTAAATGTACTTTATCACTGGATACAACACACAAGAAAATGGCAGTAAAAACATGTCAAAGAATCATAGTTTGAATATATGCAAAATACAGAAAACAGAATGTGTATTTTGTGTGTATAATATTTTGTTTGTTGAGAGAAGAGTTCTTTGATGTGCTTGGTCATCTATGAAGTCAGATTGTGGATATATTAAAATATTTAAGGACACGCATGAGAGATGTACACAGAGATGAACATCTCTGAAGATGCAGAAATAAGTTGTATTAAGATGTGATGCAGTGATAGCGTTTGACAATTTACCAACACATGCATCTTCAAGTGTACTTCAGACTGCATTAAACTAATTGTGTAGCAGAGGAACATTAAGAACTTGTACCGATAGTATAGATATTGTACTTGCATAATATTGTAATCATGTCCCTACTTGTCAAGTCAGCATAAAATCTCAAATATGCCTCACAGCTTTACAATTTCCATCCACAGTCCCTGACACTGAGCACATCGTATTCGGTTCTAAATGCCTGTTTAAAATGATGAGGGTTAAAAAATAACCTCTGAAGGAGAAAAAGGTGCCTAAGAACAGCCTTTATTAATAATAATCATGCATGTTAACCTCAGTGAATTAACCAGGAACAACTAAAACATCAGACGCCCACAGGACCAGGTCCGAAGTGTCCTTAGGGACAGCGTGTTAGAAAAAGGGAAGAGGATCAAAATCAAGGGCTGGATTTGGAAACAGCTGCACCGTATCAATACAGTGGCCGGTATGGAGCCATGCAGGGTCTACTGTGGCAGGAGTCCCCCTGCTGAGTCCCAAGATGTGCAGTGACAAAGCTGGAAGGGCTCTGGAGGGGGTGGAGACGAACATCTCGCTGGACAGGAGCCTGAGGGGGGACATGCTGCTGCTGGACAGTTAACATGTGCAAGGAGGGAAAGGATGGAAATGTTATATAGGGAGGCAAAGACATGTGGAGGTGTAGGAAATCTGCACAGACTGAAATTTGTCAGAAAACATAGAAACAAACCCAATTCTGTAGTGGCACCAAACATTAAATACCAGTCTGAGTAAATTGAGAAATAGCAGACTTCAGTTTTTGATTGTGGGAGTCTGAAACCACACCCGATAGTGTATTTTGAAATTTTAACAGGCTATAAAGAAACTAATCCAAATGTGGCTGCTGATGCCAGACAGATGTGAAAGTCTGTGATATTAAAGATGGTGCTCATATACCAAAAACCCACATTAAGTCAGGGGTTAAAAAAATATATATATATAATTTGGGGCAACTGTACAATTTTCTGAAGGCAGACAACATTCATTTCTTCTTCTACTTCATATAAAATTGCCACCATTTCAACACATTTTTCCTCTTCAATATCGCAGTTGACAGATTTCATTTTCATTAACACGCATAAAAAACAATTACGTGCCATTTGTTTAAAATATTTAAGGACACGCATGAGAGATGTACACAGAGATGAACATCTCTGAAGATGCAGAAATAAGTTGTATTAAGATGTGATGCAGTGATAGCGTTTGACAATTTACCAACACATGCATCTTCAAGTGTACTTCAGACTGCATTAAACTAATTGTGTAGCAGAGGAACATTAAGAACTTGTACCGATAGTATAACTCAACCACAAGAGAGGCTTGTGGAAAATTTATTTGAATTTGAGAATTGGCAATAGACTGGAGAATAGAAAAAATATATTTTATGCTTTAAAAAAAAAAAAAAAAAAAAAAAAACAACAACATGAAAACATACAGTTGTCCTATATATCCTCCATGTATCATCTGTTAGTAATTACACAATAGCTCTCAGAAAGTTTCTGAGGATCAGAATACAACGAAAGACATCCAAATGTTCAACAGTACACAATAAAGGTAGTCTGGATGTTTTTAATACATGGTTAACTGTACACATAAGGAAAAAAAACAAAAAACAAACACCATAATTAGACATTTTGAAATTATATCCCTTTTCATTAAGAAATGACATTACCAGAATATTTTTTTTCCATAATGATGTATCATTTATAACATTTATATTAGATCACACAAAGAAATAAAAAAATTAATTAAAAAGTTATTAGCATTGGACTGAGTCCAACGCCTCACAGAGTCCACAGCGAGGACTCAGTGGGGCGTTAGTGAACTGGGAGGTACCAAATAAGACAGTTTTGATCATAATACTTAAAACATAAAATACTACATTAATTATTACACAGGTAGAAGTACAATGGCTTAGCAGTCTTGAATAGTTCAGGTACAGAACATACACAAAAATCTACCACTTCTTAGTTTTCTTCATAATAAGATGCAACATCAAATTTCATATCACACATTCACAATCTTTGAACACTTTCAGTATGAAAACAGAACAGAAACAGAGGGACAATTTTCCTGCAACGATGATCACAGGAAAAAAAAAAAATAGTTTTTCTATAAGTATATATATATATATATGAAACATATATATTTTAAATTAACAGTCAAATATATGAGCATATATACATAGTTTTACAAGGTAGCAAAGGCAAAAAAGCTATTTGCAACATCCCCCTAAATCCTATCACCAGATAATTGTAATAAATTATCCATGACATTTTCCATTTGAAAAAAACAAAAAAACACATCTTAAAACTACAAGTTAAAAGTCTGTCAAAATATTAGAGAACCCATCTTTGTTTCAAAAGTGAAATAAGATATTGCACCTTTTTTTTTTTTTAAACCAGAGTACAATAAAATGACAATGAAAAACAGCATACAAATGCACAACAGGAATTAAATTAGAACTATTGCCACTGGCTGACATTAATCCTTATTTTTAAGTCTTGTAACAAAAATACATTTCCTGTAACAAAAACATCACAGTTTCATTTCACTGAATTATGTAAAAGGAAAACATTTTAACACACTTTTTTAAACATCTTATGACATGTTGACAAACTGTATTCAAGACTGCTAAGCTCATAACCATGGTTTCATTTCAACATAACTAGAAAAAATAGATCATATTGCCGTTTGAAATGTTACAACTTTTGGGTTCATTTTGGCGGTACAATCTGAGTCAAAGACAGGAAAATATAGAAAAACGAAAACAGCTCTCTCAAGTCCAAAAAGGGATCCCAGATACTGTCTATTCAAAATAACAGTGTACACAAGCATTTAGTAACAAATAAATGTTCCTGATTTTAGAAATATTACTTTATCATATAAGTCATTCTACAGCTAGTGTTTCTCACTAAGAAAAAGAGTCTTCAAGGCGTTGTAAATCTAGAACCCCCCCTGTTAAAAAAGGGTTGTTTTCATCCTCTCCGTGATTCAAGTCTTTCACCTGGGCGTCTTCTCTAATGATCCTGTAGAATAAAAAAAAAACAGTTTGTTCAGTATTTCTCACAGTATCTACCCACATTACAGCTGACCCCAGTGGTGCCAGACAAAAAAAAACAAAACAACAACGGAGAAAGCTGAGATTTGTTTGGAGTTTAAAAGGTCCATATTTTCTTAACGTCAATAAATAGCATGAAAAGACCAAAACCAACAACCATGTATTGTGCCATAGAGGTCCACTGTAGTCCATGTAGGGGTACTTGACATGTAGTATATAGTAATTATGGTAGCGGGATGCAAGTGGGAGTGACAAAATGCAGAGTAAAATATAAAAATAATACTGAAAATAATCTCATAATGAATACACAATTTAGGTTGAAACTAATGATTGTTTTCATTATCGATTCATCATCTGATGATATCATTTAAATCAATTTCTCTCTAAAAGTCAGGAAATATCTAAAAACTACACCACTACAATTTCCCCAACAACAATCCCAAAACCCAAAGATAAACCAGTTTTCAATTAAATGACAAAGAAAAGCTGAAAATCCTCACGTTTGAGAAATTGGAACTAGCACACGTTTTGCATTATTATGCTTGGAAAATGACTGAACAATTGAGTTATAGCCAAAGCAGCAGATTAATTCTGTTGATTACACCTCTGTGCTGTTTTAGGAAGAGACAGACTTTGTCCGAATTGAAACCATGTATTATTAGCATAGTATTATACAACTTGTTTAGACAGGTTTTTGTCTTCAGATGAAGCCAATGGGTTTGAGGCTGAGTCAGGGTATGGAAGTCAGGAAGTACTGACACATTGTTTGTTTTGGTCTTTTTATGGGATTTGGTGGCAGTATCCTGACAGATTTGTACTGTCAGAACATAGAGCAAAAGAGTCGAACACTGTAGAGGCCGTTACTTCTCACCTGAAGGCCCGGAGCTTGTGTCTGCTGTGCGCCCTGGTTGAAGTAGGCCATCGGCTGTCTGTAGAAGTCAACCCAGGCATTGTAGTCAGGATTAGAGGTCTGCTGAGATCCAGGACCAGTTGTCTGGCCTGAAGAGGGGAGGGGAAGAAGAGTAAGGAAGATATTTCAGTCACATTTGCAGGTCTTAAACTCATCCTTTAATGTGTTAGTGCCGAGCTCATAATAAATTACTCACCCCAAGCTTTGTTGTATTCAGGAGCAGTGCCCTGAGCTTGGTTCTGCTGACCTGTAAACAGAAAGAAAAACAGCTTGAAACATTTAAAAACACCGCAGCTACTAATAGAAGATGTCTTTTTAAATACAGCTTTTCCCCTTTGACAGTTTTAATGCCCAGGGTTAGAGTTATATGCACGAGTTACGCTAATACTCTTTCCAATGTGGCGAGTAAACGCATGATTTCATCAGGCGTGTGTGAAAAAACAACAAAAGTGCACACAAGAAAAGGAGAATTTAAACTTCTGTGGCACAAGATTGTAAAATAAAGTGGGCGTTGAGATGGTTGTTAAAACAAAATATCCTTTTGTCTCTGGGTGACACTCGCCTAGCTTTTTATAATACTGCTCCCAGTCCATCTGGCCCGTCTGGGATCCATTGTGACCTGAAACCAGACACAGATAACACCACCAGAGTTACTGAGAATGGGTTTTGCTTTCCCCCTTTCACCTCCTGCCCTCATCTGCAATTCTATTTCCTAATGATTTCCATCGATAGCAAATTTAAAATCTGTCCGTACAGGAAAGAGGCGATTAGCCACAGGGAACCATCTCTTAACAGCCTGCAGACGACTTTAATACACTGCAGCATAAAAATAGCCTGGCTGCGCTTTCAGAAGCAATTTTTTTCGCTCCCTCAGAGTCATATTTCTTGATTTGCTGTGTTTTTATTTTTAAAAATCAGGTCAGACAGCTCAAGCAGCATTTTTTCTACAACACCTAGATCTAGAATTTTTCTTTGTGCATTTACTTACTGTGGTCCTGCTGGCCTTGAGGCTGCCATATTTGAAAAGTTGTACCCCAGCCTCCAGTCATGAATGTCTGAGGCCCACTATAAGATAAACAGACAATTCAATGTCAGTGATTAACTTGACAATCTGAAGACAACTGATGTTCACCAGAAATGCATGAAAATCTTCTCAACATGTCACATTTTGATATGAGACTTTGAACCTTACTGTTGAGGAGGAGTGGCTGGTCCTTGGTTGTAGGGATTCATACCAAAGCTGCTGTTGCCCCCCATTCCTGGGCCCTAGTGAAGAGAAAGGGAGGCGAGTGAGAGACCACACTTGTGTTTAAAAGGGAGCCAACAGGCAAGGTCAGAGGGCAGGGCTGGGCGCTGATGCACTCCATTAAGTCCATTTGATGGATTCTTCATGTTTAACCTCTGGTGACATCCTGCTGGCCACCAGGACCACAGCAGCAGAGCTCACCCCAGCAGCTCTCCACATTGACATGTGCGCTCATGAATATCAGACCAGACAATAGTGTTTTGGGCGAATAACAGAGGGATGGGGCCAAGAGCCAGACCACCTACCCCAATTCTCTCATCGATCAGCTGGCGGGCCTTTTCCAATTGCGGAGGGGTGCCTCGGATGGAGAAGATGCGCATGTTGGGGTCGGTGTTGGGAGGCGGGTTTCTCTGGAGCTCCACATGGGCACGAGACTGCTCTTTGATGTTCTTGATGGTTTCCCCACCTGGAAAAGCATCAAGTGATGGGAATATTTAACTAGGGCTGTAACGTCACAATTTATTATTGATAAGCCTGTCGACCATTTCTCAATCATTGGTGAAAAAAAATTATATAATTTTATATATATAAAATCTGAAAGCTATCCTAGAGTGCAAGATAACATCCTTAAACTTCTGATCTTGACTGACCCACTGTCCAAAACCTGTTATCACAAAACACCAAGTTAAATTATTCATTTTCTCCATCAGTTCATTGTTTAATTAAATCACCATTTCCTAGTCCTAAATCATTCAATCAAAAACTGTCTCTGTATGTGGCCGACATAAGAGTTTCACAACATTTTAGTTCAGTTTTAACATATGAGCTGAACTGTATGTCAGATGGCAAAAAGCATCCAAAAGCTTGTCTTCCTACACTTTTCTCGTGGCAGAATTTAGGGAGCGTCTTCCTGAACATTCTAAAACCAACAATCTGACAATCATGCCCACTTTATGTAGAAATGTATGCAGGGTTTCCTCCCCCTGCCATTCTTCACACAATTTCAGTATACATGTACAGTCAGAGGATTTGTATGGACAAAAGAGTGCAACACCATGAATGGCTTTAATATGAGACCATCGCTGTTATCCTTGTATTTAAACATCATGTCTGTCCCTCTTTTCACTCTGCCTTCAAGTGTGGCAGTTCAGAACCACCATCAACACTTTTGATTTCCAACGTGGTGCATGAACTAGTCCTTTTCTTGCATAACCTGACCCCAATACAGAAATACCTGAAACCAAACAGACATGGATGCCTCACGTCAGCCAAAGTCTGTTGTTCTATGTAATTAAACCAAAATGTTGCACAGGATTTTTAACCCTAATTTGACCAAGTCTGTAATTATACAACCATCCAAAGTTGTAGTAATTAATGTGGGAATCTTTCCCACCTCTCCACTAGACTCACTTGACTAAAGTGGTGTGATAGTGCTACCTTATGAAGACTCCAGCATGTAGCTCACCACTTATCTACCATTCGGTGGCAACATCCATGCAAATCAGGAAACAAAAGGAGACATCTCCTGCACACACACCTCCCTCCTCCCCCCTCCCCGGCATCAGATGCCAGCTTCCCGGCGTGTGGGGAGAGCAATTACACCAGCAGGGAGAAATGAAACATAGCTGGTAGGAGAAAAGGGCCAAAATTGAAGCGTATCCTCCTTCTGGGATATCGTTTGTCTCTTTTACCCTTTTCATTCTTGACTCTGTGTTGTCCTCTGTGATGAGAGGAGGGAGTGAACGGGGGGCATCTAGTCTCCCCCTCCACCCACAATACCCATCTGAACGAAAAAGGCTGAGGGTGCTTCCCGGGGGGGACACCGGGGCTGTCCCAACATCAATTACACATTTGTTCACTTATGGCTGACACTCTGATGACCCAGGCTGACCTCCGAATGAAAACGCTCATCAAAAACTTCACCCCTCCCGTAGCCTATTCCTTGCTGCCAACAGACTGCACATGGGCCATTAACCCATTGTCAACCAAATGAAACTTCTGCCTTAATGAAGCCATTATGAGCTCTTCTAGTCAGACAGCAGAGAGCAATGAAGACCCTGACCATTCATTTCATGGACTGGGCTGTAGTGAGGACAGATAATACAGGCCTTATTAATGAGGCTGGTTTAGTGAGCTGGAGAAAAGAAGGGGACACAAAAGTGCAACTGGTGACAGCATTCAAGGCAAAGCAAAGGGACTGGTTAGCTGCTGGTGGGGAAAACTCAGGCCTCAAGGGAAAACATTACAGAATGTGTAACACATTCTAGGCAAACTAGGGGTGTGCAGTATGGATAAAAAGAGTATTTTTATAATATATCAGTAAAGACATTTTAAATATCCTCTAAGTTAAAACATGGTTCCACTTGTGTAATAATAGTAATTCACTCCTACATCCATTGCATGTCTCAATCTGTCTATATTGTTTTTGTTTATAGTGTGTATGTATGTGTTCTCTATACTGGAGCCTGTGTCTGATTTTATTATTATATTATTGTATAAGCACGCACATTGTGAGCAATGCACAATCTGGAGTCAAATTCCTCATATGTGTACACATACCTGACAATAATGCTGATTCTTATTGTTTTTCCTCGATGAACTCAAATTCTAACAACTCTCACTCTCTATCGGGACAGGGTGTTTGTTTTGTTGGCTTGTATGTTTTTTCACTGCGTTAACTGGGCGCTCTAATAAGTTTTCTCTACAGCTGAAATTATCAGTTGATTAATCAATGCGTTAAACATTAATTGTCAATCCAACCATCCATTAGTTTTTAACGCTTATTCTTTAGAGGGTCAAAAGAGCCAATCCCAGCTGACCCTGGGCGAGAGGTGGGGTAAACCCTGGACAGCTCGCCAGTCATATTACAGAAAGACATCCATTCAAACCTACGGGAGATTTAAGCCTCGAATATACTTTGGAGCGTACGTGGACAGCTGCGGACAAGGAGGACTCCTTTTTATAGAACTTTCTGGCGTACTTGTTCCACACATGCGCATCTGTTAGTCTGGTAGCGTAGAGACGAAATTTGAGACGTGTGCAGATGCAGTCTACACAGAGCCTACGCGTACACCCTCTGATGACGGTTTTCCTGTTACGCGGTCCCTCGTGTAATTGCAGGAAGTATAACAATTGCTTTAGAGTCGCCACTCAACAAGCCTCTTAATTTAATGTGATAGTAAACTGAATATTTGGGACTTGACGCTTTGTCAGAAAAAGAAAATTAAGATGCCACATTGGGATTGAGAAATTGTCATGGGCATCTTCTGACATTTTATAGAGGAAATAATGAAAAACAATTGCTACTCTGTTTTAGTGTTTTCTGTTATATAAAGTTCAAGCTATCCAAGTATACTAAGAGATTCAAAAGAGTAAATGGCTTTAAACTGCACTTTTATCTAAAGTGCTTTACAAATTACTTCTTCATTGTACCTGCTGAGCCAGAGCTGCAAAGTATATGCATATATATTAGGAAAATGTCACATTACACTTTATCTGAGGAAAACAAAAACCTCACTAACTCTGTTACTTTTTAACTACTGTTAACGTTCATTTGGTAACTTAATTTTGTAAAAACATTTATCACATCACAATTCCACTTAAAGACAATAACGACTAATACATCGCCCAGCCCTACATTCGAGATGAAAATCTACATGCAGTTTATTCTCTTTGCAACATCATTTAGTCACTTTTAGTTCTCATTTTTCTGTGAGAGTTAAAAAACGGGGGGGGGAGCGAGAGAGAGCGAGAACTGAAACACCAGAAACCAATCTAATTAATGTTAAGTTAGCTTTAAGTCAATTTTAACATCATGAAATCATCGTGTGAAATTTAATTCTTGACATCAGAAACAGCACTTTGACAAAGAAATCTTTCAACTTTAAAAGGGTCCACTTCACTTACTAGCTTTCAAACAAGCAAATTTCAACATTAAACTAACCAAACTGCATGCAAGTTTTTTTAGGTAAAAAATGAGTAAAGTGTTAGGATGCTTGTTATGACTCTTGCACGCCTGTAATAAAGTCTTAACAGACTGGTGGGTGGCTTGCTGTGTGTGTGTGTGTGTGTGTGTGTGTGTGTGTGTGTGTGTGTGTGTGTGTGTGTGTGTGTGTGTGTGTGTGTGTGTGTGTGTGTCAAAACAGAGGAGCAATGGGCTGCATATGGCATCGTAAAGATATTAATCACAGCACCCTTTAAGGGACGACTGACAGCACCCAGACCCACCGCCATCTCCACCATATTGGCCCACTTCATATGCTAATGCACTGAGAGGGGGACGCAACGCCCAGGTTTATTTGTTTCCCTCGCCCCACTACATGCACAAAAGCCACTTGACATTTCTATTGCCATGTTTTTATCTTAGGTAAAGAGGCCCCCTTCGACCCCGCCCACCAATGCACGCACATACACACACCAAGGCAACGTGCATGCACACATACTACACACAGAGAGCTCCTTCCAATGCAATGGTCAATGACTTTTAAATAGCTGGCAATAGAGTGGGCATGAATAGCCAATAAGCTAATTCCTTCTATTCATGCCCTCGCTGCACTCTATTGGGCTGAAAGACCCTCATTAGATGCCAGGCAGCCTTCCACATGATTGAGGGCTGTTATTATGCACCTTTAACAATTAATGTCACATTACACGCATTATCCCCGTCATTAAGCCCTTAGTGAAGCCAATGAATGCCACTTGTGCTGTATACATGAGCCCTGGAGGAAGAATAGGAGGGTGGTCATTCACCCCCTCCTCCTCATCAGTTTCACGCAAGGTTAGAACACCACACGGCATTCAGTTATTAAAAGGGAAAAGGCAATCTGGTGAGTTGGATATACTCTTTTTATTAAGAGTGTTCACATTGATGAAGCCTGTGTTATTTCTGGAACAGCAAGTTGTGCCAAAATTCAGCACAAGCAGACCTCACAGAGAGAAACAGATGAAACCAGACACACACACACTTCCCAGCTTCTTTTAAATACAAGCTAGTAACAAAAAAAAAAATCTTAGCTGTACATATAAAGCATGACCAAACCGGTTCACCAAGGTGCTTAGAGCATCAACAGGTGTTTAAATCAACTTTATGAAAACGTGTTCATACCTTTGCCAATCACTAGACCACACTTGTCAGCAGGAACTGCATATGTCACCTCCTGCAGTCCTCCAGGCCCTCCCATGTTACAGTCACCTCGCCCTCGACGTCCCACTACACCCCCAAACCCATCTCGCTCCTACAAGACGGGAACCAGGAGGAAATAAAGTTAATACAAGGAATTCTGACATTGTTTGCTGAAAAGGTCAAGGAAAAACAAAACTACTGATTTAGGGAGCTAATACTACTTTAGATAAAATGCAAAGTTTATAATTTGATGGATTTTTAACCATGGCACTCTCCAAGTCTCCGTTTTTTAAAAACTCTGTAAGAAACGTTTGTAGAAATTAAACTAAAGTCACCTTGCCATGTTGGGGTGTATTATTTTCCTTTTTATTAACATTATGTGTCTTGACAATACTCATCACTACTCTGTTTTCAAACTAAAAGCCAAATAACCGTGTAAACAGTGGGGACAAAGCAGAAGCACATACCTGAGCAGTTTGAACCAGTTCATTGATGAGGTGGACCGCATGGTGGCAGTGGTCGGGCTGGCCCATCACCTGAGCAACTCTGTCAGGACTGACTCCATCATCTGGATGTAAAATACGAGGGAAAAAAAAGGTCTTTTAACTGCTCAATGACTTGTAATTTAAAGCACATGGAAGCAGTTAAATCTTTAAGTATAAAGGTGCAAAACCTGGTGATATCTTCAAACTTTAATGCTTGCAGGTGCAGATTTCACAGCACAAGTGAGCACGTACAACAAGTAGAAAACAAATGCTAAACCTTTGGATGACTGGATGGGAATAAATATCACTGCCCATGAATTCCGATGGCACTGGCCATCAAGTACTCAGGTTACCACAAAGACAGGCCAGATGAGAAAGTCTACGTCAAACTTGTTCCTATTCTCAAACCAATGACACATTATCCATTTTTTGTGCATGGATGAACAGTGCTTTTCAAGATTAAAAGGATGAAAATGCACACAGACAAATATTTCATTAACTAACGCAATAATTCTAGTTATTTATACGTTTGAAATGTAACAGATTTTATTAAGACTGAAGCTGGATTCATTCTTGATGCATGGAGTTAACAGGCATCCTGCCACCGGCGTACGGTTTGCTTTAGTTCTGCATCTGATTTCACCTGTTAATATCACCATGGCAACAATAGATGGACGCATCATTTGTGATCAGGCCATATTAGGCCCTTCATTTCCCATCGTAACCGTATTAGTGTTCTTTTATTCATTTTGCAATACCATCGACAGAAGATGTACTTCTGTACATGCATGCTTATTTACATGGATTTACAACCAGGTAAACTTCGATTTCGCCTTGTCACTTTACTGAAACAGAGACTGTGGTCGTGCAGATGGTAGTCTCTGTAGCTACATAACCCCTTAATGCACAGCTACAAAAGCAGCTTTAGATATTATACATTTCTACTTGATTGCTAACATCAGGTCTTGTTTTATTTTCTTACCTTGTTTGAACTGGATCCTGACCCCGGCGTCATTCTGAATTTCTTGATCATCTCTCCGTTCCTGCCGATGATGATGCCAACAGCAAATCTGGGCACAACCACCTGGACGACAATGACAGAAGAATTCAGAAAAGATTACAAAAATGAGTTTACGAACAAACAAAAAAACACGTTATCTTAGTTGACCAGGATTTGAAAAGCAGGAAAAAAAAAGAAAAAAAAAAAAGACGCTCTTACATCAAGACTGCTTCCCCCCATTTTGGATCCAAAGTCTGCCCTGCCAACCCTGAAGTCTCCTTGGTCCTTGTCTCGGATAAGCTTCACTACAAGTTCACGGGCTTGCTATAAAGATCAAAAGACACCAAATCTTTAAGAAAAAAAAACTTTCAACAAGGAATGTTGCATGGGAAACATAACACAAATCCAGCTCAGATACACTCAATAAAAAACAAAGATGTGTGAGTGGAAGACCAAAGGCAAAAAATGTGTAAAACTGAGTGTAAACTGGAAAGATGGCGGCACACACTGAGCTTGTCTGAGACTGACCTGCACTTTGTGGGGATCCCCAGTGATTCGCAGGGGCTTGTCTGCTCCAGTGGGCATGGGGTCATCCTGAATCATTATCATCTGCACTCCTGTTCTCTCCTGCAGGGGTACAATCAGACAGACCCAGAAACACACATCATAGAATTCAGGCATATGTTTGGCAAAGGACAGAATAAGCAGGAAAATATACACAGAGGTAGAAGATCATTGGTTTCCATCTACCATCAGTGACATAAGCCTGTTCACCCCGCTGCGGTCTGGCAAAAGATACTGAAGTATCCACTGTTGTACCACCAAACTCCAGAGCAGCTTCTTTGCCCAGGCTACAAGAGTCTTTAATTGATCCTCAGCACCATGTAAAATTGTTTAATTTCTATGGCTTATTATTTATCCAACCATCTATTTATAATTTTTGTTTTTGTAAGTGAGAATAAAGGGAACTACAACTTAATCTGTTTTATAACCATGTGTTGTAAAATGACAAATCTACTTTCTAGTCATAGTGAAAATTACGCCACGCTTTTTTAGTTCTAATTTAGAACCAGGTTTTGAGGCTTACCATTATGCTTGCAATGCAATTACATTATAATGGAAACTGAAGACTAGAGCTTCAGTTATAATTTACTTTTCACTGCCAAGATTGTGATTTAATTAACTGGGTTCAACTGCACTTGATTAAACCTGCTCCTTAGCAGACACATTGTAGAGCTGTGTTTATTGACATATCCGCAATCTCTACTGGTGAGTAAAATGTTAAAACAGCAAGAATGAAAAGTAGCATTGTCAAATGTACCACTTAACAGCAACTGCTATACGTTCAGCGTGGCCTACTACCAGACCTGCAGTTGTTTGATGGTCTCTCCTCCTTTGCCGATGACCAGGCCGACTTTGTTGGCGGGGATAAGGATCTGCTGGATCGAACTGTTGCCGTCCATCTCACTGTGGAAGCCTGGCCCATACCGACACTGCTCCACAATCTCAGTCAACAGCCTCTTGGCCTGCCTGTGGGGGTGGAGCGAGCACCAAGAAATACATTCATCACCACAGTTACAGGCTCTACACAAAAACATTTGTGTCACATTTCTCTTTGTCAAATGTGAAAGGTGTTCAGGTGATTCAGTGACTGATTAAGGAGATGTGAAAAGAGATTTGAGTTCATGCCCTCTGTGTCACAACAATAGGACACACTTTCCCCAATTGTGCAGTTTCAGTAAGTCTGTCAAAGTTGAGAGGTGAGACTTACTCAATGTTCTCTGGGCTCCCAGTCAGTGTGCAGGGCCTGTCCAACATGCCTCCACTGTCTGCAACAAAACCAAAATTAGAGATACTACACATTTTTACAAACACACTAAAAGGACAACTGCAATAACTGTAAAACTACTCTTCTGGCCTCATTATGTAAACTCATTTAAATGTAATTCTGTAACAGAATTATTATTTTACTGATCTTGTGTAAATATATATGACAAAAATCTTAAACACAATTCAGCTCAATACAAAACACTTGTGTAAGCTTCATACTCAACCTTGACCGGCTACACACTGTCTCTGATGTTCATTCATATAATTTATTCATTTAGCTGACGTTTTTATCCAAAGCAACTTACAATTGCTATACATGTCAGAGGTTGTAAGCCTCTGGAGCAACAATGGGTTAAGTGTCTTGCTCAGGGACACAATGGTGGATTGGTCAGAGAATCATACAGGTCTTACATTCAGAGTTTTTTTCTTTCAAAAAGGTGAGCACAGAAAAACTTCCTCACTGCAGTAGATGAATGTGAAAACAGCTTTCTGGTGTCAAAGTCTGCACTAGGGCTGCAACTAACGATGATTTTAGTACTCGGAGCTTCTACAGAGTATTTCATCGATGCATCGTTTAAGAAGTACTTTTGCGCCCCCAAGGCTAGGCTAATATTTCATAAGTTTCGTTTTATGTGGACGGACGGTAACTTTACAGAGTTGTTTTCTTTAAGCTTGAAATAATCCCACACTTTGGACACTTTCGTCGAGTTCACACAGCGTAAGCGCGATATGCGACAGTAATGTCTGTGCAAAACATTGTGCGATATAGTTATATGGATTAAACGAAGAGTTGACGCAAATACTGGTTATGCTTTTTAGTAATTGAAGTGAAATGAAGTATGTGCAGAGTAGGGCTGGAAACGATTCAGCCCTACTCTGCACATACTTTATTCTGAACAGTGAAGGAGCTGAACATGCTTTTATTTAAAGAGGGACTTCAAATCATTTTTGGGGGCATTTTAAAGCCTTTTTTCATTAGATGACAATAGAGAGACAGACCATGATGGGAGAGAACGACATGCAACAAAAGGTCCCTGGTTGGATTCAAACCAGCAATGTTGAGGATTGGGGTCAGTGCCTCAAACCACCAGGACAAAGAGTGCACCCTCTCGGCCATAGTTTTGAAACTATTATACTCTTTCAAAACCAATGTGGAACATATATCCAAAACTAATAAACATTAAGCTTGACCTTGATGAAGGTGGCAAGACAAAATCTCCACAAACATGCCATCATGGTAGCAACATTTCATCATAAAAAAAAAAAAAAGCTGTTTAATATTGTTTACATTTAAAATGGTACATTTACGTTTTTCTAATGTTTTGTGTTTTCAAAAAACAAAAAGGGTATTTGTTTTAAAGACAACCTACATGACACGCATTTATAAACGTTTATAATAGTTTGCATACTACTATAATGTAGCGGTAAACAGCCATTAGGGCTTTTCAAGTTATTATTTTTTTTAATCTTTCAACAATTACAACTTCTATGAAGACCTTTTATATTACTACAACTGTATTATATCATCATTCATTACTATTTATAAACCAGCTTCCATTAGTGGATGCCCACAGGAGGAGATATAACTGCTGACAAATAGATTAACACTTCCACAAGGCTCCATAATACATTTTGAAATGTTTGTACAGTGCTTATGAATGTTTGACATTTACATGTAGTTGTCAAAAACTTGATGTGGTAAGCCAAATCATTCTATAAACAGGGTTCACCTAGTCAAATTTAAGACTTTAAGACCATTATGAATGAAATTTAAGACCTGTATCATGTCATCAAAAAAAGAAAAAAAGTAAATAAATGTATTCAAATTCAACTACTACTAAACAGATTAGATGCACTGTTGAAAAATAAACATACAAACAAGTTAGCGTTAGTTTGTGAATGAGTGAGGGAGTAACACACAAACATTAATCTCATCTAAATGGCTAAAGAAGTCTACTAGGTAGGAATTCTAACATTATAACCATTAGATCTGGGAAAAGTCATGTGTTTGGTTTTGATGCTCTCCACAATGATTTTACATTCATGGCACAGCACCAAGATGTTTTGAGCCTCACCACATTATAAAGGCAGGAAAACACTGTTAATATGACCTCAGAAATATTACAGATAGGATTATTCATGTTTGCCTTTTGTGTCTTAAGTTATTTAATTTATACATTTGTAGAAATTAACACATAAAATAGGCAACATGAGAACCACCTCCCTGTCTGTATTGGCATCTCTAATTTGCTTTACTAACCTCAGCTCCTCCGTGGTCACCACCGTCCTCTTTTTAATTTAACTATCAAGATATACAGTACGTGTACAAATTTAAGACTTTAAGACCTTAAATTTAGAAATTTTAGACTTTATATTTTTTACGACCTAGTGGAAACCCTGTATAAAATGTGGATCTTAATTTTGAAAGGGGGAAGAGCCTAAAGTCTGAAAGTCATTGTGATAATTTACAAATGGCAGACATTTCCAACACCACTGCACGAGGTGAAATGGACCCAGATTCTACTGCCACATAGCTACTTTCCATGTAGTTTGTCGCTGAACTTTCAGTTTATGATTCATGCCTCTTAGTTGAAACATGTTTCTGGCCTCTGAGGATGCAGTTGATTTCTTTAAGATATTCACAAGCAGACACAAGGGGATTAGATAATGCGTTTAGTCAGAACTTACCTGAAGCAATCTGGATCTTACAACCCGATTCCAGCTGAATTCTTGAGATCTGCTCTCCTCCTTTTCCAATGACTATGGAGGAGGGGGAAGAGAAAGGGCCAGTTTTAAGCCTTTCTGAATTTAGACAGGGGCCCCAAGTAGTGACCCAAAAACTGAGTAGAATGCCAATACTGACGATTTCATGTCAAACATTAATACTGACTATACTAAACGGAAGGGCTACTTACTGAATCCCACCATCTTATCAGGCACTTTGAAGTCTTCTGTCGCAAGAGCCCTGGAAGAGATTAGGACATGATCAATAACTCAAAGAAAATAACATCAAGAACCACCTACATCTAGGCTACCCTTTCTCTAAACCAACTTATGCATAAAGTAAAAAAAAACAAGAATTTAAATGGTTATATTAATCAATCATTTGGCTTCTTTTTACTAACCAAAATCCAAAAATCTATGGAAATTCAGTTTGTCATTATAAAAAAAAAAAAAAAAAAAAAAAAAAACCCAGAAGAAACCCAGCAAATATTCACATATTAATTAGAACAAGTGATTTTGGCATTTTAGCTAAAAAAAATTTTTTTTTAAAAAGATCAAAATTGTTTGCAGATTGATTTTCCATTGCTCAACTAAGCAATTTATCCACTACTAATTTCAGCTCTAGAAATGACTATTCTAAAACCATTTTGTTAATATTGTTTAATTCTCCAAGCACAACATTGTCATAAGTCAGCTCATCACTTCCTTGTTTACAAGTCGCAGCCAACCTCTCACATTTACAGAAAAAAAAAAAAATTAATACAAAAAAAGGGACACTGAAAAACAGCATTGATATTTACCAAAACAGTTTTGCAAAATGTGCAGTATTGTCGTCAAACATAAAGGAAATTGTGATTGACACACAGAGGCAGAAACGCATGGAGGACGTCAGACGAGACAAATCACTGAGACAGGCCAATTGCAGGCGCTGAAATAATCACGGTAAGCTGCTTTAAATATGCAGGGTTAGCACCGCGAAATCCTGGAGGGACTGGTTGGTCAGACAGACCAAGTGATTTGGATATGTGAAATTTTGTTCTTTTTTTTATTATCCTGATATTTTCTAGACCTGGCAATTAGGCAATGGATCAAGAAACTAGCCAACAAATAATGTGATAATTGCAAATTGATAACTCAATTTTGAAACATGGAGAAAGACAGCCTTTGAAAGTAACACACAGCAACACATGTTGAAAGGCTTTATGGTTACGGAAAATAAAGAATAAGTCATCTTAAAACTACCTAACTGAGGCATGGAGTAAAAGACTAGGAATACATTCAAAGTGCATTAAAATGACACAGAAATGACGCTCACCTTTGATGTACCATTGCACCGAGGTGGTTCCCTACTGACAGAAGTGAGAGGAGAGCAAACCAATTAACGTGTGAGAAATAATTTGAGATCATGGTTAAAAATAAATATTTGATTAGTCAGTGATAGCTGAGGAAGCAGCAAAATGAAGCAAAATGAGTCAGGGCTGGAGGGGAAGGGAGCAGATGGATATGGTCCTGCCAATCCGTCGTGTTCTTGCCTGATCCACAGCAGGGGACTTTCACTAGCATGGTAATCAGGACTGTGAGTGTTTCAATCAGAGCCGTTCAGAAAAGAAACAGGCAGCAGCCGGGTCAGTGGCTGCTGGTCAGGAATTGAATTTTGACAGGTAGCACTAAGCAAGGGTCCTGCAGGGTCAGTGGAGGATGTGCTGCCATGGATGTGAACACCTGAATTGATATCTAGCAGCTTCAATCAATTTTCTGGTTGTTTGCACTGATTTCACTTCTTCTGGAAATGCACCAGGGTTAATGCTGGAAGAATCGAACAGCTATGAATATAAAGGAGGAGGTGTACTGAATTCAGGGACAAACCTGGATGACCAAACATGAATGCCCATTTTTGCCCATTTGTATACTTGTACGTTTGATAATTAAATGCTTAGAGCAGTGCTACACAGACATAATTTCTGTTTTTTCCCCCCCACACTCTGCAACAACCTTGACTGAGGGGAGAAAAAAAAAACACCCACTGAGGACAAATTGTTGCAAACAATGACAATGCTTCAAACAAACCTAAACCAGAATTGCATACAATTTATCTATCCGTGCATTCAGGGCTGAACTGTCATACAAACAACTCTGACAAGATAAGAGGACGACAAGATAAATGACTAGTGTTTCCACTTCATGAATATGAAATGGATCAAACCTTTGTTATGCGTGCAAGGCACAGTGAGGTAGAATTACACTTTTCTTACTACAATGCAGTTTCACAGTGTTTCCCCTACATAGCCCCATCTGTGGTATATGGCCTGTTTGGCAGCAACTAAAAAGAAACATTCATAACAAGGTAATGTTAAGCTTACTTGTCGTGGAGTATTTTCCACAAGGGGTTGTATCAGTAATTTTGCTAAAGTAATGGACCTGAATACTTCTTCCACCTCTGGTTAGCACACACAGCCACACTGCACTGCATATTACCGGCTGAGAATTACCCTTTAAGGAAGGTGGCCTTATGGGTAACTTGTGTGTGAACAAAATACAGCCGATTGCTGTGTTTTGTGGCGGATTTGTGGCATTCCAAAAAGGTGTGTTGCCCACAGGGGAGTTGCCACCCCCACCCAGTTGAGGCAGGGACTTTTTCCTGGTCACTGTCACCAAGTGCTTGCTCATGGTGGAAATGGTCGGGTCAATATGAAAAGTGTAATGAGAACTTCCGTTATAAATTGGAGCTATATTATTATTTAAAGTTGAACTTCTATTGAATGCATGAGCATTTGACTTTGACTAGCAGCTGAGTACAGCGTGCTAACCTTGACAACCCAGCTGGATTCTACCGTTAACATAGCTATCTTTATTAGCTAGGCTCCTCGCTTATTAATAACTTATTTGAAGGTCTGTAATAACATATTGACAGGGTTGTGTAAAGAACATAGACTTGAGAGATAGAAGTTATCAGAGTTAACGTTAAGTTAGTCTTGGTTAGTCAAATTTGTGCATTGGTGTTCATGATACTAACCATTCAACTCCCGACTGATTCAGAGCATGATCATGTTTTGATTCGGATTGTGGACAAATGGGTCTGTTGTCATTAGCTGCTTTGAGACTGCCTTATTTTCCCCGTGAGCAATTTGCTGCTCGGTAGTCACAGAGACGGAACGATGTCAGTGTAAAAAGCCACACACACACATGCCGGGGTTGTGTTATTGTTATATAACGGTCTTATTCTACGCTGCCGGTTCCGGAAAGCCGGATCACTATATAATAGCACACATGGTTAAAAGATTAGGCCACAAATGTTGGTTTAGTATAAACGCAGAATAAGCAAATTTTGCATTTTGGTGGATATTCTTTGAGAGTTTATTGTGGGATCCCTGTATGAAAGTGGCTGTAGTATTTGTGAGGGAGAGCGAGAGGAGGGGCTGAACCAATATCTGCACTCATCGCTGCTCTACAATGAAATAGGAGTTTACCCAATTTAAACAGAAAAACAAAATCAAAAATTAATATGTGGTGGTCTGTATGTATGGGAAACACAGATAATACAGGATCTTTAAGTCAGACTGGCTTGAATCTAGTGTAGGTCTGTGGGTAATATCTGCACGAAGCACTTAAAAATACTCTTAATTATGTCATCTATAGTATGGTTGATCTCAATATGGCTACATATAACACAAAGCTCTTAAATTAGGTATGGTGTTGTGCTCAGTGGCTTTTTGATGCTTAAAAAAACAAAAACAACAAACCTACCGATCAGAACAAGTAAGATTAAGAATGGGGACATCATCTATCTCTGCCAGAGCCAGAAAAATGGCCATGAAAAAGCCGAGATTGACGCAAGTGTATGGTTTGTATGTTGAGTTACAAAAATTACTTTAAAAAAGGTAACTGCTCCAAGCAACTGTTGCAACTTTTGTGTCGACTGAAAATATCTTAGGCATGTAGGTCACTCGCTACTGATTGGTCAGGACAAGATAACAACCCTTCCCAAACAGAAATGGCAATGTCACAGCTTGGATGATGAAGTTAAACAAAATAGCAATTCAGTCAGAGGTTTAGGCTAAACTTTATAGTGTGGCTGGAACACAAAAACACCCAGTTTGAACAGATTTTGAAAGAAAAAAAAAAAAACGAGGCACACCAAAGACATAATTGATTTTTTATGTTTTAAATCATAAGAACAAACACACCAGATGATTTAGATAAGACGCACAACCACAAACTTGGCGTTTATACTAAATGATTTCATAGTGGCGTTTCTGGGGACTTGGGATGTCACAGAAACTCGTGTGATCAAATGTGAATTCACATACAAGTCAAACACTGACGCAGAGTGTTGTCGTTAGCTAGTTGAACTTGTGTGTATTATGTTTGGCATAGATAAACAAAAAAAGAATGAAACTGGATACACCGTTAAACTCATTTGGACCAATAATCTGTTAACAACCCGTCTCAGATTGGGAACGCCCCTGCGATTGTCGGGAGGGGGGCAATTATTTATCTAGTGTGCGTCCAGAATAAGAGAATCTCTTTTCTACAGTGAGGGGATAAAAACATTAAAAAGCTTTTATATAGCAGAACAATGGATTTGCAGGATAAAAACTAACGCAACCGACAGAGTGGTTGCAAATATATCAATATATATATATATATAATATTCTGCAGACATGAACCAGTAGTATTGTATGTGTTTATAATGAAGGCTTACCTCCATTGTCGAGTGAACGTTTTTGGCCTCCAAAACCGTACAGGGAGGGGTCTATGACCGCAGAGGAACTGTTCATGTTAGGCATCTGGTCTCCTCCCATCTTTGCTACCATCTGGAGACACAACAGTAAGACAGATAGAATAAAAGGTGAAAAGCAGATATTTGATGATATTCTCTTTAAACGTGCATTTCCTTTCCAAGACAACATCTTGGATAGCCCTTCATAATACGTGTGAGACATTCACTTTCTTTCTTAAAAGCATCAGATTTGCTGTGAAGTTGGACCTTGACAAAGTAATCTGTTGTGAAGAGTTATCTTTTTGACAGCAGCTGAAAACTGCACTTTGCACAATATTACAGCAGCTTGAAGCATCTGCCACAGTTTCCTTAAAACATCTGTCATGTACCAGCTTTCACTGACTGACCTAACCCTTTTATGCTTTTGCTGACAAATGAAACAGATTATCATGGCACACAACATCTCAGAAGCCCCGATTTGCCAGTAGATGAGTTGCCTTAAAAAGTTACAACAGGTATGAGAGAGATAACTACTTTTTTTTTTTTTTTTTTTAGATACATTTCCAGCTCCATATTCCTTATAGGCAAAACGGAAAAGATAAGTGATTTTTATCAAGTGGTATCAAAGAGGTGTTGATTCAATTGTATGGTCATTTTACAAGCAGTAGTTTGTTAGTTTTATGTTTAACTGTATTATACTGTTCCAATTTTTTTTTATACTAGTGCTGATACAATGCCCAAGTTTCAGTACCATACTTAATTTCATTACTTTGACAAATAACATTTTTCTACAAACTGAAAAGAGGCCAAGTCTCTCAAATGTCACAAGCATCTGGTACAAGAACTTTGCCTACAGTAAATACATGAGTCTTAAATAGGCAGAAAATCTGATCAATCAAAAGTAAACAAAAGGAGTACTCATTCAACAGTTTTTAGTCTCAGTAGCAAAAAAGAATTGAGGCTCAACACCTGAACTATCCCTGTTAATGTCATGTAAGAACACAGTACTATTAAACATTAAGTCAGTTTTTATATTTGTAGATATCAATACGTGATTGGCTCAATAAACAATTAGTGTCCTGTACATTTCTGGCTACCCCAGACATGCATTTCTCTACACTGCACTTCTTTGCATTACAGCTTAGCTAAAAACAAATGTCTGTTTTCAAAACCATCCACTTGCTGACCTTAAGTAAAAACGCTTGTGTTCTGCGTTGATGGACATTCAAATCTTCTGTTACACTGCACGAGAGCACCAAAAGCATTTTCCACTCCCTGTTAATCTGCCACCTCTCCTTCCATACAGTATAGCATTTCAGAAAATTACACAAAATTGACATCTGTGCCTGACTGAAATTCTTTTTTGAAAATATAGCGACGGCAATTAGAGTTCTCCAGCACCTTCGGGGATGATTATCTACTTCAGAGCCCATCAGTGGAAGTAAGGTGTGCAATGGAAATAAGGAAGCAGAAAAGGAAGCAGGTGTGGCGTTTGTTTTCCATGACATTACTGTAGCTACGCATGTCCAGCAGCCTAAAAGCATTTTAGACTAGGTCAATACTTAAGGAACTGCTTAAACTTTATATGAAATCAACGTTTGTTAGTTTTGTTTCACTGAAGCTGGGCAGATGTGTGTTTTATCTGTCTGTAACAGTATGGGTGTAGGTTGTGGTGGTTTTGATAATATTGATAATATTACTCCCCCAGTCTAGCTACAAGTCAAAGGTTTATCATGAACACTGTGTTTCAAACGCTTACATCCATCCTCACAAAGCCTCACCCAAAAACAGATTTCACAAAACAATCTCCATAGTGGATAAAACTTAAAACAAATGCTTTGCATGTTTAGTATGTACGGAGAAAACAGCATTTGAAAAACAATAGCATACGTCCATTTACAGGCAGGGTGCTGTGTGGCATTAAAGTTAAGAATTATTTCCATATTAAATGTCAATATGGCCGAACATACCACACAGCTCTTGCTATAAACCTGTATTTATGGTGATTTTGTCAGACAACTATGCGATTGTAAAATAATGATTTCATCTGCTGGTTAACATGAAGTATTTATGAGTTTTATTTGTTCCTTTGTCTGACAACATACTGTATATATTTCCCTGAAAGAGAAAACTATGTAAATGTGAAAACTAAATCCTGAATCCAGATGCATTAAAAACAAAGGAGAGAATTATCACAAAGAGCAGGAGAGGGGAAGAACAAATGGTTAACGGGCGCAGACTGACCAGGTTTTTGTCTGTCCCACTCCTTACCAGATGTTGGCTGTGATGTGCAGTTTCGTTATTTGTCAACTGAAAAGAGGACAAAGAAAGAGAGATTTAGTGTTTTTTATGTTGTTTCATTGAGGGCAGAGGTCTCTGACAATTAACGGGAAATGCTAGTGGGGAAGTTGTTTAAAATTACATAACCAGTTTAGTGTATACACAGTCTTGGGCATAAACATGGTTTTGGTTCACACTGGTTATCTACACTGAGTATAAATATAAATGAAGCCTTGCCAGCTTAGAGGATCCAAGCACCCAAAATAACTATAAAAAAACAAGATTTACTATGCAAGTGTGCCACATATAATCATAGATTTGTTCTGCAGCAGCCGGGTCACGTTTACAGTCATGCAGTCTGGTGGATTTCGTGGCAAATTGCCTGGTACAAACAGTCTATCCTACAGTAGAAACCCCTCGATGTCAACTGAGGCCTCTGGGTAAACACCACTTTGGACTGGACTGGCCTACAAGACCAACTCACTTCTTGAATGCAATCTTTGCTGAGCAAATGTTAAAAAGTTTAAAAGCACCTTTAATAGTAACTAATCTGTCATGTTTCATACTTTAAGGCTCAAAATATGTACTTAAATAAATATGCATTAAATTATGTGACATGTGGTCACAACAGAATGTATAGTTTATATTTAGGGTCCAGGTACACCTTGTGAATTGGGTGCTGTGGCGCAAGCGTTTCATCAGTGAGCTACCCTATTCATGACTCTGACTTCCACTCAGGGAGGTTTTTAATATTTGACAAAAATATCTGACATGTTTAGGATCAAAGTGGGAACATTTAGTAACACTGGGAATTTAAAAAACAAAAACAAAGTAACAGACCAGAAGCAGCAGGCAGAATGCGATAATTAGCAAATGGGAGTTCTACTGCAGAGGTCAACATCTGGTGATTTAGGCTAATGAGTTAATCGACCTTTACACAATTGTATGCTTTGCTTTTGTTGTTTACTCTGATAATTGTTTAATTTTAAAGAAGCACAGTTAACACGACACATATTGCAAAGCAATTTCTGCTCATGCAACTTAAAAATTAAAATGTCAGTCACTGTCACCTCCCACGAGTAAGGAGCAGCTGATGACTGCTATAACGGCATCTGAGGGGAACAAAGACCAGTGTAAAGAAGCATTAGAACAAAGCTTCAACTTTAGCCCATCTCTTAAACGTAAGCCACATCAATGTCATATGATAACATGCTTAATAAAATGACTTCCCTTTTCTATAAAGTACATATCGTGTGTAAACTTCCTAGGAACACCCAAATGAACAACTTATAAGATCAACCCTGAAGAAAATGTGGCAGTCGTCACTTGCTTTTTATAAGAATTAATATTTTATAAGGATTCTTTGTTGCAAGAATTACATTAAAGCCCACAATCAAATCCCTTATATCTTACTTGTGCAATGGCAGCTTTTGTTTTGGCAAATCTAAGATGTTGTCAACAACAAGGTGTGAGCATACATAAATGGAGGAAAAACTTTATAGAGGGCTTTAAAAGCAAACATGTACTTGACATGTAATGTTTATATCTGTGCAATTAAAAATTAGACTAAATGTACCTATATTCTCACATTTACTAATAACGTGTAATAAATAAGATATTTGTGGACATATTTTTATCATCATACATATTATGGGGATCAAACACACAATTTGTACCTAGTTTATAATCTTCACATGGGAAAGCTCAACTGCTAGCTGTATGACTAAAGTCCAGTTTACACACTGTTAACTGCAGTCAGTGCTCTACATTTGACTACCTTAATGATAACCCAACTACAGTGTCCATCTCTGCTACAGACACTATTTGAAATTAAGTAATACCCGTTCAACAGGGGAGCAGTGAAAGGCAGGTTGTATTTTAAATAGAGATGGGTGGGTGATACTGAAGCTCCGAAACTTGTTTAAGATCAGATCAGCAAAAATATTTTATATCTAGGCTCTTTGGACAATGCATAGTTATTTTACTGTAACATTCTGCACAATAATAATATTTAATGCAGCAGTTCTGAAGAAAAGTATACAGATTTCATAAAAACGCTTGGGACTGTAATTGCAGTCATAATCAGTGAGGAGTGGTTTTGAAGGGCTGCTACAAGTTTTAAAAGACACAAAATATAAGTGTCTTTGAAGCCCCAAAGCTTCAAATAATTTCCGGCACAAACAGAAAGAAGCGTTTCATTAAGCTTCATCCGCACATCACAAATTTTAAATGATATTTTCAGGTATTTTCCAATCAGCAATGGAAAAATCCAAGTGTGCTCAACAGGAGGAGTGGAGGGGGCTTATCTGAACAGATGACGTTACATTACATGGCCTTACTCCAACGCTGCCTGTTAGGACACATAGTACCACACACGCTAGCTAGCTAGCACACCAGCTATGCTAGCTAGATTTCCTATTATGTGCGAGATACCAGCATGTTTGATGTACAAGCTTATTATTATTATTACGAAGTTAAAAGCAGGGACATATGTTATCGCATGTAGTTACCGACTGAGCTCTCAGTGTGTCTGTTTAACTGGGGAAATTACACTTAAGCTAACTTTGGTCTTCAAAACTAGCAAGCTAACTTTCTGACAGCGTGTCAGCCCGGTTGTTCAGGCTTCATGTCTAAACTAAATATTAGCTTTCGTCGTGTTGTGAGTCAGGCTGCATGGTATCCAACCTGTGATAGTAAATTAGCAAGCTAAGCTAACTGCAACTTCTGTGACTTGACAACAGGTTGCAGTGTGCCGGCTAAACTTACTAAAGTTGCACAAACTTCGACATTATAAGAGGCCTTCTTGTTTTGCGTTAGACCAGGCCTGCCTCGTCGTTTCGACAGCTTTGACACCATTAGTTAACGAGTCTTCTGTCTCGTGTAAACTCTAATCTGTCCAGCTATGCTGTCTCGGCTATTTAACGTTAGCTTGCTAGCTTGCTGGGTGCATGAGGTGTGTTTGTAGTAGGGGGTCCGTGGTGCTCCGACCAAAGTCCTGCCCTGCACCGCATGCAGACAGGCAGTTTGTGGGAAAGCACTACACTTGTGTCCTCTGAAGAGCATTTTACCTGTCGGACCCGGCGTATCGTGTCTGCGAAGTCATCTTTCGTTCCGGGCTGAGCCACCGAGGCCTGTCCCTGAACCAGCTCCGCCATCATCATCATCGTCCGCCTCGGCAGCTGAGAGCCACACTTAAAAAAAAAAAAAAAAAAGGGAAAAGAACAGCACACGTGCCAAGCCAAAGCTCCGCGAGCCAGATGATCTCGCGAGTTAATCGAAGACCACATACAGGATATAGGCAAGGAAAGCCCCTTTACCACAAGACTATATTTTTGTAACACATTCAAAATAATCTAATATATACAATACAAAATAATCTAACGTATTTTTATCCTGTCTTAATGAAATGTGTTTGACGGATATATCAAATGCAACTCATATATACTTTAGTGTAATTTTTAATAAATCTATACAATTGTGAAAAATGCCAGTTAGAGTCTACAAAAGCCCAATGTGATCTTTAAAAATGTTTTGTTTTGTTTGACCAACAGTTCAAAACTTAGAGATATTCAATTCAATTCAATGTTATAAACAGAAAAAACTGCCAATTCTCGCATTGGAAAAGCTGGAACCAGAGAATGTTAGCCATTTTTACTGAAATGGCTGAATTTTCAGTGGATGGACTAATCAATCTCTCACTCTCTCTCTCTCTGTATGTGTGTGTGTGTCTTGATATAATGTAACACAATTCAACTACAAGCTGAACATTTTAGACTTCATGAATGCTTGGTTAATTAAGTTGATTTTGAGCAGGGAGCAGGGAGTTCTTCCACAGGCCCAAAGATGTCTGCACTGCGTGTGTTCTGTAATCTGTTCATCTTCAGACTAGCTTTATTTCTGGATTTACTGTTGATCCATACAAGAAGTGTTGTGAAAATAAAAAACAAACAGTGAGCCCTTGCATACATTTTCCAGCTCCTTCTACTGAGCCACATACTTTTTAAAACTGACTTTTACTATTGATAGTCTTGACAGAATCACAAAATTCCCATCTGACACAACAACATGCACACTGAGGAATATTGGTTTCCTCCCTTGCTGCACATGTGGAAACATCTATTGTTGCACATCTGGAAAATGCCAGCAGCCAGACAGAAGAAAGTAAAATTGCTGCAAATTTCCAAACTGTTTATGCAAAACAGTTCCTGCTCTATAAATTGTATCCAAACCACAATGAGCAAAGTTGACCAGTAAGGTATTAAATGAATGTGTGGTCCAGCAGATTTTGAAACAGTTGAGAGTTATTTAAATGTATGCGAGCTTTTCTTGCAGGACAAATGCATTAGGATCATTTTCTTAATTTTCTTCTGTAATGTGCAATGGTACTACCAAGTGATATTAAAAGCTCAAATCTGCCAGATCTCTTGTGTCCAAAAATGTGATTTTAGGACATGAAAGATAACAGCATGAGAGGGAATGTACAAGCCTGAAGCTTAAAATAAATGTGATCATATACGGGCTGTTTCTTAACGCTTAAATAACAGTTTCCCTCTATGGTTACTTATATGCATCATGCTCGTGCAGCTGCTTGAACATGGATGATTGACCTTGAATTTGAGACAAGCAGATTGGTGTGCAACATCTTACAGACATTCGTGCAGATATCAATTTCCCTTCCTTGTCAGCCCCTGGGCATGTTATCACCAACCAAAAAAGAAGCAGAGAAATTAAGCAGGAGGGAGCTGAAGGCTGTTCCCAGACCAGCACCTCTAAATGAAGACCACCATTTTAGCATGACTGAAGTATGATCCTGGCCCCGGCCCTAACATATTGCTACCATGTGCTGTCCAATGTATTCAAGGCGTCGGGAAAATAATTTCAGAGCTCTGGTATCAAAGGGTCGTCATATACAGCCAGACGATGCATACATGAGCATGGGCGCAAGAACACACACACACACACAGTTATTATGAATTCAACCCCCAGCTGGTCAAACAGCCTAGAAAGTAAAGTCAGTTAAAGCAGGTGTGGGTCTGTGGCGTCCTGCCAATCAAGCAGTGGGAACTGAGTTAGTGAAGTGTGTTTGTGTGTGTGTGTGGAGCTGTGGTTACTAGCAGGCTGATCAAGTGTCACACAGAAACATAGCTTCCTCCCTGTCATTGTCTTACGGAGAATAGATACTTGTTCCCAGGGTTCACTGTTGTAAAAACTCTAGTGCCACTTGTTGGTGCAGTGCAGCAAAGTCTTAAAAAGTTCAAGAAATCATCAACGTCTGCAGAGTAATTGATCCATTTTTCTTTTAATTTCAGTGAAGTGAAAATGGAATGGTTTTTGTGGTCAGGCAAGTGGAATGCATTGCCAGCTGGACAAATGAAACCATTTAGAAAAAAAAAAAAAGCAACATCAATATTGGCACACTTACTCTTTTTAACTAGTTAGCTTTTACCTCCTCCTTTCTCCTCCACAGTCTCAAAAGAACCGGCCATATGAAACTGTAATTGCTTTATAATTGCCACAGTTCTGCTAGGGGCGTAAATGTCCAAAGGCAGGATACAAGAAACGGATAGTGTTTCATCCAGAGACCTCTGAGGTATCCCAGTGCAGCTTTCATTCAGGAGAAACACATTGTTCATGCAGAGAGAAGCGGCGAATAAAAAGGCAGTGGCAATAATACTTGTCATATTTGGAAAACATATTGAGCAAAAGAGCAGAAATCTGTAGCAACCGTTTTTTGTTTTTATTTGTATGATCATCCCCTTTATTGTGTGATCTATTTTTATTGTTTTCTTGGTAGTATTCTCTCAATATTTGAGCGTAGTTTTCCATTTGTTTTACTGTGGACTTTTCAAATTGCACTCCCATAGCAATATCTGTATCATGATAGACAGTAAATTGATGCAGCAGAATCACAAATATCTTTTTTTTTTATTCCACACATTCTTCTTCATTATCAATATCAATATCAATTTCATTTATAGAGCACACTTAAAACATCCAGGGTTGACAAAGGTGCTTTACAAATTAAAATACAACAATAAAACAGTAATTACAAAGTAAAAGTACAGCAATAAAACATTAGAATATACAATATATGATATAATGATATTAAAATTGTGTTTGTTAAAACCTGGCACCTACATGACCCACAATGTCACTTGAGCACCGACAGTTAGGTCAGAGATTTAGGTGTGTTATGCTAGTAGCTGCTAATGTGCCCTGAGCTGGCACACCCGCAGCTTTGTTTCATTTTAAAACTTATAGTCTTCAATGCCAATCGATGCTGACTCAAGTGACATCATATGAGGCAATTTATTAACTTTACCTTTTTAACATATGCATCAGTATCTCCAAAACTTGTCAACAGACTTTGATGTGTAAAATTGGTGGATTTGCCTTTTTAGCACTTTGTAATACTTTTTAGAAAAGTGCTATAAAAATAATATGATTAAGTTATTTACGAGTAAACTTAAAGGGGCTATATGTAGTTTATTTAATAAAATGAATAAATTTTTTATTGCTTGTGTCTGAAGGGGTTGTAACCTCACAAAAAACCCTCCACATGCCGTTTTTTCTGTTATCTCTCACGGCAAGTATGACTCATTCTATGTGAAGACTCTGGGTTGGATTTTCATGGAAATCTGCATGTGCGCTCCTGAGTCTCCAGCCTATTGATTCTGTACCATACACAAAGCAACAACATTGCAGCTAGCGAAATGGAGTCCACTAAAACCAAAAAACGACCAGCTCCCAGCACAACACAGACTCCAACATAAACTCCACGTAAGGATAAAAAACACCAACAAAGGTTTATGTTCTGCAGACAAGAATCAGATTGACTTTGGGTGACAACACAGTCAACATGGCTTGAACCGACACAAACCACACAGAGTTGGCTTTCATCCTATTGGACAAGTAAACATTACTGCAAAGCATGTGAAACATATTGTGATGTTGGACTTTAGCTGGCTCAAGTTAGATGATGTTAGCGCGCAGGCTAACGCCAAGCTGTTGTTAACATTATCCGGTACAAAATACTATAGTTGTATCATCATGTCGGCTAAATGCAGTCAATGTAATGTTATCATGTAACGTAGCTTTAACCTCAAGCTGATAAAAATATTACAGCAATGTTGCAGTGGGATGTCTGTGAAGGTTCTCACTCATCCAGGTCATAGTTATCCAACGAAGGTTGAGGTCAAGGGCTCAACCTTCGTTGGGTTGCAGTGGGAGTTTGCCTGCATTTCCAGCATGTTGTGTGAAGCTGTCTGCTGGTGTTGGATTCTTCTCCTTGCTCATGAGTTTGAGATTGCGTACGAGTACAGACCTGGTTGCAATTTTAAAAAGGTAGTGGCCGCTAAAACTACATTTATCACCTTTAAACTAAAGCATGTGCACAACAGGTATTGTTGGTACACTCCTTTTCAATATATTGTTCTCGTTAACATTATTTTTTTGTTAAGTTTTGTTTGATTCTATTACATGTGTAGAACCCTTTCATAAGTTCAGGAATATACACATAACACATTCACACAACTCAGTCTGAAAAAAATATAAATGTATAAAATATAAACAAAGTGTACATTTAGAGGCAATTTACAAGACATCTATCATCAGCATCCAAAAAACAGACTGAAATAACAATAATAATTATACGTTTTATTTGTACCGCACTTTAGGTAAAAGGTAAAAGCATCAACAATAACAAAATGAAAGAGAGCAAAATAGAAAATTGGATATGCTGCAAAAGAACAAAATAACATTTTTAGAGAGTGAAGAAAGAGAACAGGTAGCAGGAGTATCATGAGGGGTTGACAGAGTAACATCAAGGACAAACAAACAAACACAAATCTTTGACAGGAAACATCCTGTCTGGAAAGAGAAGATTGACAGATGAAAAGGATAAACAGACAAGCTTTGTCCAATAATGGGAGACACACACTTCTACCTCCTTGTTTTTACCTCTCTTCCATTTTACTTTGCAGCCACCTCCTCCTTGTCTACAAGCCACTTTGCTTTGATTCAGCTCTGTATCTGTATTTTAAATGACTCAATTACATGGGATCCCGCGGTGAAAATTACGGATGTTTTTCACTATTTCTTTCCACTGGGACATCATGACCCCTCCCTGGCTCCAGTAACCCCCCTCCTCCTCCTCTTTCCTCCATTCCTCTCTCCTGGCCTCTCTCTCCACCTGTCCTATTTTCCTCCTCTCCCACAGTC